CCCCCCCCCCCCCGCACTAACGCTTTCCCATTATGGCGGTACGAACTTGCTGCATGCGGTCTCAGTGTGAGTGCTTTCATTCATTTTTTAGAGAACCACAAATCCGCTATTTCGTTTAGATTTGCTTATAGATCATGTTTTTGATAATAAAACAACAAACGTGATTTGGATTTCGCAATACTATATTAAATGCCGGAAGCACAAATACGCAGAGATAACAAAAAGGAATTCTCATTATAAGAATAGGAGGTCTTGTAAAGCCCAGAGAAACAGATCAGTAGTTTGGGTATCAGTTCGCTGGTGTGTCACTCTTACCTTCCCGTTTTCGTCTTCCTACCGTAGTAAAAGTCGACGGCGTTGCAAGCCCAATAAAATCACACTGGTTAGAAGGCGTACACGTCCACACAGGGATTTGGTAGTTATATTCAACCGTTATCCGACATAGTGCCAACACGAATGACTGAAAGTAAAACGCAGTGGTGGGAGTTGATAATCAAAAGGGTAAAGGTAAAGTAGCTTCATTACATGTCTTATGAAAAAATATGTAAAATAAATAGAGTACGGATTGAAAATAAAGTTCCTAGCTGTAATGTTGCAGCACGAGAAGAGATTTTGTAAATGTATGTGTTTCTCTTTGCTAAACGACTTTTAACTGTTCATTAAACAATGAACTCTTTGCCCAATAGAGGGTACCGGAGGAGACAGGATTGTGCCGGAAGTGACGTGTAGTGGTGTAAGACGTAGGCGTAGTGGTGTACCTGAGTGGTCATTTTTAGCTGGAGGTGAACGGGAGTGAAGACATGGGCTCAGAGAAAGAAGCAGTTTTCCCAACAACATACTGAGATAACACGTTTTTTGGTATTTTGGGCAGAAAATACTTGTAGAAATAATATGTACATGATATGAAAACGTGTTACGATACTTGAAGGTGCAAAATCTTGCTTAATTTGCAGTCAATTTGTTTTGAAATATATGCTGCATAATTATTTTTGGGTGCCTTATGGTTTGTGCTGTAATTTTAATTTACAATTGGCCAGCAAAAAAAATTGCGTTTTATTTTCATGCTTAAAATTGCTTACACTGTGCATATGATGCTCAGCCGACCTCTTAAAAACACGCCCAACACTTTAGTCAAACAGTTTTGCCCCTTAAACATCATATGTTACACATCATATATAAAAGATTGTCTACCAAGATTATCGAGGTTTGAACAACAGTGACAGAAATTGTAACTGATAAAGACTAATTCAACCAGCTTATCAGTTTTGTCTAGACTAAAGTGACTAACTCTAATCCAGTACATTAGAAAGAGATTAAAATCTAGGTGTTTTACATTTATAAATATGTGATTTGTTTCATGTTCACCGTAAGAAGCACTTAATGCTAAGCTTAATATGTTTTAATTTTACAAGGAGCAAACTGCTTATGAATTGCCTGTGCGTGTGCATGTTTGTGCACACACACTCATACACGTACAGTGCACACACATACACACGCACACAATACGCACACACATACTGCATGTTTTAACTGAACAAGTAGCAAACTGCTCAACAGTGCATGTGTGCATGTATGTGTGTGCATGTGTATGTGTAGGCGTGTGTTTGTGCGTGCACGTGTGTGTGTGACACTGATTGCATTGTATTGGTGATCCAGCAAACATACCGCCACGAATTGGGTCAAAGCCGCGTCCAGTCCCCAACCGGTCACCCCAATGCAGTCAATGGACTTGACTTCGCAGTCTTCCGCAACCTGGCAAGGTGTTCCTGTTACTACAATGAAATACAAGCCTGTAAAACTCCGTGAAGTTTTTCAAATGTGCAAAGAATGAACGTTAATCCCACCATGTTTATCACAAGCTGTATAACTACTCACATTTAAAACGAGAGAGACCGTATAAGCACGAAGAGAGAAAATATGGAATATAGAAAAGACAGTGCAGTTAATAACTCACATTCAGCTTAAATCCATTTTAATCAAAAGAGAAGGGTACATGTTTTAATATGCTTAAACGCTTCACTTTGACGAACGTCGGCTGCGCGCGGTGTTTTCCACATTAGTCTATTCTTTTTTTCTTGGGAGTAAAGATCACCTGGTCTTTTTTTCCACCACGGTAGGTTACATTTCTCTTTCATTGCATGTACATATTACATATATATTAAACCAAGGTTACAAATCATGAAAACTGAAAATTTTCAAAATAACAAATAATAGCAAATTTTACTCTAAACTGTTTCAATAGAATCGAGAAGATTACTTACTGGTCTGGCACGTTCCATTAGGCGATGGGTATGACGTCAGAGGGCAAAGACAGGCCTGTGTGGAGCGGGTTATTACCGAAAACAGCGGGTTTGTGACACATCTTGTGTTATCTCCACAAGAAAGTGGTAAAGTTCCAACCGGTGCTGTACTCACACAAGCACTGAAAAGGCTCGTACTGTTATCGTTTGTATAGCCTGGAAGAAAAATTATACAGTTCCGTGTACAGTGAATTCTATGGTTATATGCATAGTAAGTACAATCAGGAAATTTGTTATTTGCATTTGCAATACCAAAAATATTCATTAAATATACCACGTTATAGGACACCAGAAACTACGAGCTACTTGTATTCTCTTTTCTGGACTTTGAATTTTCTGTTGTCATTCTTAACCTCTGCAACTTGGTACATGTGACATTGTAAGAGACGTCTTATGGGAAAAATGAAAAAAAAAATGAAAAAGTGATTGATATATTAGTCTTTGTAGAAACAAAACTTTTCGTTACAATCTCACCTGTTTGGGACACAATGTGGTTGTCGAAATTTTACACTTCTCAACATCGAGATATCCATGACTAATAGAAGACAATAGGTGAATAGCGTATGGCTATTCCACTGAACTTACCGACAAAGGCTGGTATATCCATAACGGAAAATGTTGATCTGAAACAAACAAAGAAATCAAAAAGTAATTTCCGTCGCATAAAAACAATTAAAACGTCCACCAACAAAGCGAAAAGATGGCAATTCTAATGTAATCTTTTTTTTTGAAAATTCAGATGTCTTTGTGCAGTGCCAGTTATCCGATGAATTGTCAGAATGTTGTAGTTAACGAGTACCTCTGCTATTTTGTAAACGGATGGTGTCCCTTCCAGCTTCTTCACGTATCAGTCGTCTTGACAAAGTTGCTCTCGCTAAAATAGAAGGTCGCTTATCTCTTGGCTGTCTTAACCGGTAAGCTTCGCTGGATGCGTCGCGTGCTTTAAAAGTTTATCAGTAGTGAACTGGGCGGTTTTGTTTATGCTAATTGCCGTCTTTAATGAATATGCTCTGAATTCATTACGATTCAATCTGCATATAGATATGAAGAAAATTCTTATCGTTTTACATAATGACCATTGGCAATGATAATGTAAGTAATGGACCACTTGATATCTGCCTGGCCACCTCGCAACTAGCAATCTTTTGCCTTCAGAATTTCAATCAAAGCGTAACATCTCTCTACTATCAAAAGGAACCATCGTCCAAATCTCAAATAATTCCTGTGTCAAGAAATTTAAAAAAAAGGTGATCATCAACCCCTTTAATCCCTGTCGCTGTTCTCTTTTTTATGTCCTCCCCGCCCCATTCCCTCTGTCACTTGTACTGGGTTTATCCTTCTTGTCGCACGGTATAGAGCATCCCAAGGAGTACCTTTGACTGTTCCTCTGGAAACCCTGATTTGCATGCGTTTTTGCCATTTTCCATTCTCATAGGATGCTGACAATATTCTATTTTGACGACACGTCTGACAGACTAAGGCTGTAGATTGTGGATTGGGGGGACGGCAAGGGGCGTATATTAAGATTCAGAATTAAATCTTATATCACACTAAAAGTACTGATTTCCCATATTCAAACGGGAAAATAATTCATTTAACAAGCGTTTAAATTGGACTAGCTCTTTATTGCAAAAACAGAGCGTCTTATATGAAAACGTGTTACGATACATGAAGGTGCAAAATAGTGCTTAATTTGCAGTCAATTTGTTTTGAAGTATATGCAGCATCGACCGATAGCGCGTCAAAGAGCGTCAAGGGAAAAGAATTCCTGCTGAGGTGTAAATTGTTGCCATGTGGAGTTTTTGCAAATATGTAATCTGATATGCCCGCATCTATTTATTTTTGGGTGTTTATGGTATGTGCTGCAATTATAGCGATCTTTGAGAGTCCTTGAAGAACCTTGTGAAAACCAGGAAGTAGTTCGCAACTGACAACTGAATCGTATATGGATTAAAAAAAGCTGAATATCACATTGAGGTCAAAGTCTACTAGTTCAAATGATTTTCTTTATTTTGAGATATATTATGAGCTTCACAAGATAAATTATGATTTTACGTAGAGAATTACCCAATGTAAGAAACAAGCGTAGAAGGATATGCACCCGAAATCGTATTGCAAAAGTCGAGTTGAGGAGTTGAACAGTTGAGAAGAAGTTGAAGAACGAATGAGAACATAATAATATTATAAATAATCAATAAAAGCTTCAAATTCCGCATGGTTCTCCAGAGTAGAAGAAATAGCATTCGTCCTAATATATATATATATATATATATATATATATATATATATATATATATATATATATATATATATAATGTAAATGTACTATTGAGTATATTATTAAAGTAGTCCTCCTAAATCATTGTTCAACGATTGTCTTACATACTCGGTGTAGCTCGTAGCCCCTCACGATGTCAAAATAATAATAATAATAATAGATAAATAAATAAATACAATTTTAAAAAACGCACGGACAATCGTATACGATTTCATCGCACGGCGCCCGTGGCAATTGTAAGCTATAAGCTAGGCTTTATCTATTACACGATTGTATCTGTCGCATTCACTTAGTGATACAGGTACACTTGATAATTATATTCCTCCTTGCCTTAATTTCATGTTTTTCATTAATGTACCAACTTTGGTGATTCGTAGACCCATATATTCACGTTTAATACTACAATATACTACTATATTTGCGACTGATTGTAAAGGTCTTTCCATCTATTACTCAATCAGGACCGTCTAATCTTGGTCTCTTGATTGTGTTATTTGAACTACAGTTCATTTTCCGTATATGCCTAACTAAAACGACTGGCTATTTCGCATAAAACCAATATATATGTATAATGTATACCTCTAAATGATGTTTGTGCTTACTGTATGCTTCTTTCCCATTATCAGTCATAATAGTTTATTATAAATGCAGATTCCTTTAGAGAAAAGAAAACTCCCGGTAATGTTTTACTTAAAATTTTTTACCTGAAAATTATTTGCTAAAATCAATACCACGATGGCTTCCTGCATTGAAATTACTTGACACACGACAAAGTGGGAATCAAAGTCATATGAAATCTGTGATCAAATACATTTTAATGCTTTGAGGGTATTATACACCAATAAAGATAACAGTGAGGTGATGGGCACTGATTGCAATGGCAAGTGTCCGCTTTGGCCCTGGCCACTTAAAAAATACCCTGTCGACGCAACTAACAATGGTGATATTTACTGGCTGATGTGTCCTGTCCCTTTTCTCAAGGCTATTGTGTTACTGTTGTGATGATTTTACGGTATTAATATATTGTTGTCCATTGTTTGTCCGCCCCCTTCAATTCAAAGAATACGGATAAGAATATCTTAGACGTTTTCAAGCGGAAACCAGCGGAAACTTAAATATTCCCCGACTGTTATATCGAAAACAATAATGTTTACATTTCCATAGCATGGAGGTACTACAGTCCTCCAATCGGCATGGCAATATCAAATATTCAAGGCTTTGATTGACACCATCAGGCGTTCCTGTGGGTGTGGTAAGATCTATCTTCAAGGCTTTGATTGACACCATCAGGCGTTCCTGTGGGTGTGGTAAGATCTATCTTCAAGGCTTTGATTGACATTATCATGGTACTTTGCACAGGGACAATAGCAACAGTACCAAAGCTTGGGCCAGTGGGCGTGGCCCACAGTTTGACTAACAGCACCATGGATGCCCCAGCTGATAGAACATTATTTTAGCTGTGTACTGTCGAAGATGTCATGGTAACCTTTGTTCATCACCATGGTAATCTATATTCATCACCATAGTGACGGTCAACATCACCATGGTTTCCTGGGCTTAAAGTGGCTGGTCCCTCTGGTCCCCATGTACGCCGCCCAGCCTTGTTTGTGAAATGGAAGAATGCTCCCACACTCTTTACCCCCTGTCAAACCTGCATCCGGGCATGTGCATTTTAGACGAAGCCTGCAACGAAAAATGAATTCTTTACACAAGTTTGTGATATTTGAAAAAAGACTGTCCACTGATTTAAGAAATAACACCCGTGATGAAATAATACAAACTTTAGACGTACAAAGTGACATACCCTCAGATATCAAAGGGGCCGCTAGTATAGACCAATATAGTAGGCTATACAAAACTGAAGGAGCCGATTCAATAATTTTGCAACAGACCACTAGTGACATCTGTGGTCAGAGAGTAAGACTTACAGGTCTTACTGAGGTCCTTAACGGAAGCCTAATTCCAAGAGGCGAATATTAGTTTTTTTTCAGAAAACAAAGGGGTGGGGGGGGGGGGGGTCAGGACCCCCTGACCCCCCTTCTAAATCCGCCACTTCCTGTGGCGTTATAGAGCACAACGAGAGCCCAAGCAGCTCACAAACTGGCGGTTTTTCTTGTGAGTAGTGTTTGCCATTTCAAACGTCCACTGTAGAGTTACCCCGGGTACTGTATGAATATATGTACAGTCTTGATAAGCAAGGCCAAAGGAAAAACAAAACGTGACTTTTGAAATAAAAAAATCCTTGCTGATAATCCCAACGAGCAGACAGCTTTTTTATGAAAGGGCTGTATGACATGCATGACGCCATGCCGAGTAAGGTATTGGCTCAATTTAATTTTGATCTGTTGCGTAGTTGGTAAAGGATAGAGATCATTGACCATCACCGCCTAAGTATCATTTTAAAGACTTGCTATTGGCTTGGTATTTTTTTGCAACCAAGCACGCTACCAACTGCGCTGTGACTGACCCCCCCCCCCCCCTCCGCATTAACGAGTTTCCTCTTATGGTAATTAAACGCAATTTTTTAGAAATTATTTTGAGCTAAAATCACATTGAAAATCTTAGGATTCAATCCCCGCGTACAAGCGTCTAGCGATGTCTAAGGCGGCGGAGTTAACACGGAGCCACAGAAGCTTTGTTGGAAGGGTACGGATCAAATGGAAACTTTCTACCTTCTCACAGAGAGGGCCAGTTTGGGTCTACATGTATATATCTGCCACAGCAATCAACAGGGACCGGAATAGGGACCCCCATGACCCCCCTCCCCCTCGAAATCCCCCACTGTAAATACGTGTATTAGAAGAAAAACGATCATGCCCCAGGAAGAATAAGAAAGAAAGGCAGAACAGGTCTGGTAATTAGCAACAATATTGTTTTACCTGTATACTGTGAGCTGCCCCATCTTCAGGTCGTAAGGGTTGTATTCCTTAGCGTCTTGGAAAGTGCCGCCCTCTGGAGGGTGGCGCCCGCCTCGCGCCAGGCATTCGTCAGTGACAGCATGGCGGAAGGCATGGTCGTCTAGGCCGTAGTATTTACCTAAAAGACAGGAAACTTTGAGACAGGTGTCTGGATATTTTCAATGAATGCCTGTCAAGAATGATAGAACGCTGGTGGTATGTGGAAGAACCACATAATTCCGAATGGACTGCTTGTCATTTGAAGATGGATATGACCATCAGACTCATACAGTTTTTTATGAGACGGATACCGCTTTTTCTAAAAAAATAAGTGATGATGACCACTATCACTTTATTATTCTCACCTCATGAATTGTAACAATTCAAGGCTTAAGAAGGCGTATAAGTATCTGAAAACTCTAACGCTAGTAGGGCCTACTAGTGTTGCGTATTAATAAAAAAGAAGAATATAACAGGGAGTTGACAGCTTTATGAAGATATCAAAAGCATGATTGAAAAAAAAAATGCATTTTTAGGGAGTGTTTTTGCATCTCTAACACATCAGCATTACAGTATACACGGTGCGATTGGTGTGGTGGAAAGTAGAAGCTGTATCTTTGAAAAGAGCCTCTTGGAGTTCAAGTGTAAAAAGAACATACATTTAAGGGCAACATCATCACTAAAATAATCCCAGTTCGTTAACCCGCAAATCAGTGCTTTTTTTTCTCTGCAAAAGAATGCTTCCTTAACACCCCTGGTCCCGATTAAGTACTCAGGAGAATACCAACTGAACGTGCGAAGTCCCCCCGGGGATGGGATACGTACATTAATTGGAAATACACAGTGCACAGGGGTAAACATACCGTATCGATCGTTCCTCATAGAGGTATTCATCATCAACTGGCGGACGCAAGCTTGGTCTTCTGGCAGCAATGCCTCTGTCTTTGCCGGGAAGATCCAGTAAGTTGCGAACACCAGGTCTATACCGTTGTTGTACGCAGGGAGAGACGGGTTCAACAGCGGCGGAGCGAGAGTTCCTAAAAAAATATTGATATGTTCGATTAAACTCGTGCATATTGACAATATGTATGATGACTAAAATGATCCACATACATGTATACATTTTTTCTTTACGTAATATCTTAAATTGTAAAACCCTTTGATGTATTTTGAATTTTGGGATAGTTTAAAGGAAAAGGGTGTGTCGTAGCTCTGTAACAAAATAAAACAATTCGAAGTACCTGTCCTTTGAGATTATTGTAACAATAACAGTGCAAGTCTACCCTGTTACAAAATGTCACAGTTCTGTGACAAAATGAAACAATTTTGAAGTACGTGTCTTTTGAGATGATTATAACAATAAAAGCGCATGTGCACTCTGTTGCAAAGTATGACAGTTCTGTGTACCTGTGGATAGAAGTCTTTGTATCCCATTGTCGTCATGAGGACTCATGTGCCTTTTCTCTCTACGTGTCGCAGCTTGTCTCCCGATTCTTTGACCCAAATTTTTTCTGCCCAAAAGTCTTTCTCGTTGTGATGGCACAGAGTAGCCTGCATTAGGATTATGGTTTTTGGATCCAGAGTATGTATTTCTTTCTTTTTTTGTAAACCGGTCCGTATTTTGACTCCCACCCACTGGTAAATAGTTTTGATACCACTTGTTCCTTTGTTTATCAGAATCGTACTGAGCACCGTTTCTATTTGTATAATCACGAAATAAATTTTCAAAGTCACCATAATTTTTCTTGTCCAAATTATACTGCTCGCTATTGCGATTTTGACTTGGACTGGTGCTAAATGATCCAAAACCATTTCTACCTGTACTCTTTTCTGCATATCGCCCGTTATTATTTATATTTGAATAGTGCCGACCATATGAACGGCCATTTTGCTTTTGTCTGCCATTTTGCTTGGGGTAACTTGGAGCGCTGTGGCGAATGTCTGAGTTATATCCTTTGGTGTGGGTGTAAGCTGGCCGAGATGCTAGATTGTGATGAACAGTTTTCCGTCCGGCGTTCTGAAATTGAAAACCAGGTCATGTATAAGTAAAAGTTTTAACCGACATGACTAATGAACAACTTAATATATGGCTAATGAAAAGTGGATTTTTTTAAAAAAATTCTGGTCTATAGCTTATAGGCTCAGTAGTTATTTGGTGGTTGTTTTTTTATCATTTTCCTTATGTGTGTAGATCACATTTTAGGCTTAGTTTACTAGCAGTTTATTTCACTCGACCTGTTTTCCAAGGCCTACTACATGTAGTCCGACTGACCTAAAACGTTTAGACACAGGGTGATTATGGCGACTTTTGAAAACTGAGGTTCTATAGTTGTTAATTTTCTCCTTTATACGAAAAAAAGACCCAAATTTCTTGAAGTGAAATAAACTATACTTTACCTTCGGACGTTGGTGAGCCCCCCGGTGTGACTGATGGTCCAGGTAGTCCTCCAAATACTGCTGATGCTTCTTCACAAACTCGATTGCCTCCATCGTCGTATTTACCCATGCGCTGTGCTCCACCTTTTGTCTTTGCCCTGTGGCATAACGCCAGCTTTCATTATATATGTACTTCATATCTATCTCTATATTTTTCTATTATCAAAACTAAACACAAGGAAATTATAAATTAATGCCCTCCAACACATACATACAAACTTTAATGTGCGTTTACAAGTAGAAAAAAAAATTTTTGAACTTAAAATATCGGTGACGGTCAATCAGGAAGAAACTGAAAACCAGAACCTACTGGAGTCATAGACGGTGATACCCGGATGTGGAGTACGTCTACCGGAGACCATCAACTTTGTGAAGCCACGTGTGTTGAAACGCAGACGACACACATCCGACCGGCTTTGCTGGTGGACATTGGTGTCTAATAAATAAATAAATAAATTTGCTTTTGTAAGTCTTGCTTCATAAAAAATTTACTTTCACTAGTCTTCAATTCACTTTAATTCACTTTTTTACAATTAAAACTGCTTAAAGAAAATGTGAAAATGTGAGTAATTCCAGTAACATTGCCTCTCATTGCAAATCAACATACCTTCAGCAAATGTGAACACCCCTCCTTGTCCCTCGTGGTCCTCGCAATCCGCCACCCAGTACAGAAACAAATCATTGCCGAAACCCTCCACGCTTACCGCCAGAGGGGATGACTGGACACCTATCGAATCTCTTACTGGTTTATCGAGCAGCATTTTGCCTGTTTTCCCGTCCAGTATCGTTGTCTAAAAAGGTAGTGGGGAAAATGTTTTATGTACATGTATATAATTGGCTGTTAATGTTTCCGTTGCAGGATTATATGAATTGTAAACTATATGTGCACACGCTTTCTGATTTTTTATTTGCACTGTTTGTATCCACTTTTATCTTGAATCATGCAAAAAACATATTGTATATATTCAACAATTCACTTAACTTATCGGCCCCATTCAGAACAGGGGACTAACTAGTCCAAAGGTCAAATATGGCGATTCACTAAAATCAGCTAATAGACACTGAATAGATATCCCGTGGGAAAGTATTCAAGTGGCTCGGCCATATTTGACCCTCGGACTAGTTAGCCCCCTATTCTGTATGGAGTCATTTGACGTTTGATGCTTTATGTGCTTGATATACAGCAGCCTTAACTCACCACGGAGTCGTAGTACACTGGGAAGCCGGGACCGTGTGCATATCTGACCATGAAGTCCGGCACGTCATCGTTATTGTAGTAGCCAACAGCTGGGGTACTGAAAATATACATGAATACAATCTGAAAGATTCATTATAATGAGAAATAAAAGGTCATAGGTGTGGGGTCAAATGTCAAAAATTTAAAGTAATCAAAAGTTTGTATTGAATATTAACATAACTGCAGTCAGAAAATATGTTAAAGTTTAGAGGTTAGAGGTTACAAATGAGGTCAGAGGCGAGAGGTTATTGGGGAGGTCAGAGGGCAAAGGTCAAAGGTGTTCTGCCAACATATTCTCAAGTTGCCCCTCGTTCTGTACTGCCCCATTGCGGTTATTATTGAATAAATTTATGTAATTTTATTGCGTTAACATAAAATTCAAAATTTGCCGATTTTCATTCTCGTTGATCACCGGGTATATATTTTTGGCAGACGTACACATTTTGGCAGGGCATACCGTAACCAAAGGTTTAAAAAAAAAAAAAAAAAAAAAAAAAAAACCACACTTGTAGGGAATCAGCCTTCAGATGTATCATTTTGCGCTCTTACTTATACGACTCTGATCCCGTGAAAGTGGTTTTCCATAGTTGCTGCAGTGTATCCCCGTCTATGGCGACAACTGTGCTGTTGAATGCAGGGATGACAATGTCTTCTACGCCATCTTGATTTATGTCGGCCAGGGCTGGGGGCGTCATGATGCCTTTGAATGGGTCGGAATACAGTTTCTTGGCCTAAATGAGAGATATATCACTGTTAGTCTACTCCCTATGACAGCTAAACTACGCTTTAAGATGAATAAATAATCGATATCGCTCCTGCCACTCCCCCTCAAAAATCTAGGTTCCACTGACTGGGAATTGGCTGTGAGGATCTAATCTAAAATCAAACAAAACATACTTGTTTAATTTCATAAAACTATGTTAGCAGACGGTACAGTGTTGATAAGTATTTAGTAACCTGCGACATTAAAGTGCCTCGTCTCGTGTAATCTGCTGACAGTTTTACTCAAAAGTTGGAAACCTACTCAGTGTAGTTTGAGTTTAACCAAGATGAATACAACTTCTTGGTTTAACATGGCATAGAATGAGGTCAATGTAAGGATGACGAGGGCATGCATGTTCTGTAGGTCTTAGGTTTTTATCTACCCTAAATATCAGTAAGCAACTGAAATGCTGCTGATTAGACTAACTTCACAGAATATTTGTTTCTGCTTCACATCACCTTTGACATGTGGCCCCTTAGCAAGTCCTCCAAGTCAATCCACCAGAGAGCGCCACCGTGCGTCTCCCCGCCGGTGCCAAACAGCACAGCCAAGGTGTCGGTGGACTGGCGGTACAGTTGTGGCGAGAAGTACGTCTCCATGTGGTCGGGAACCTTGACCCATCTTAGAACACCGCCATACTTCCCGCTCAGGATCACCAGCTCTCCGCTCAAGGTGACCGGCTCGCCTTTAAAATAAATAAATAAATAAATAAATAAATATTCATAATAATAAATACATAACGGTTTAAAATCAAAACAGAATCATAAATCACTGAACTTTTCTCAATGATTAGTGTTATTTTACTGGAAAAAAGTGACTCTATACTATGATTTTCTTTATTACCGTACCCACAACATAACTAAAAGCCATCCCACCAACCTGATTCCCGCATCGGGTCTCCACCATGCGCCAACAGTACATCCGGGACTCCGTCCCCATTAACATCCCGGATGTACTGCGGGGTGTACACATTCATTTCGTCATTGAAGGCCTCGTCGTTAGCAAATCTCCACAGTAATTCTCCGTCTCGTCCATTAATGGCACGAAATACCTGAAATTCCGTCCGTTATGTTGGTAAGAGCATTCGTATTTAAAACTTATTGTGTCACTTTAAAATAACAGTTTAAATTATACAACCATATACCGAAAATATTGCCGGAATAAATAATTGTATAGTAAGCTAAAGAATAGTAGACACTAAATGTATTTGGTTTTTCTTTGCGATTCTTACCCCTCCTCGACCGCCTGCCAGACACTCATTCACCCCGTCACCGTTGATATCCCTGTTACAGTTCAAGGCAAAGACTTCGTGCTCCGTGAAATGTCTCCACAACTCTCTGCCAGTCGCGCCATCTATCGACAAGACACCGCCAAAACACGGTCGCGTGCCATTGAAGTATATGTCGCAAACCAGCTCTGGAACATTGTGGCCGTCTGCCCCTAAAATTGAAACATGAGGCACATATGTTATTTTTTGTAAAATACAACATGTACAACACGCACACCTGCATTCATATTGAGAAATTAAATATAAGCAGAACGCAAAGGCATCGATCCATTTCATTTCTTTAGAATCTTAAAATAACACGCATAACCAATATATAGTAGATACAAGCAGGAAAAATTGTTTCCTTTCCAAGGTTTTCTAATTTTTGCTTGCAAGCATATACTGTCTGAAATTGCGTCTCATTTTATCTGTTATATTTATTACGTCGACCCTTAAACAGTGATCAAGTTTCATATCAAAGCGTACAACACTGGCTCTACAAAAACAAGTGTGTGGCGAAACAGGCTGTACAAAATAGTAAAAACGTTGTGAAACAGATAAATATCCTACACGATGTGAAAAGCACCTGTCACAAACCTACCTGTGCCAAACCCAAATAGAACGTCTAGCGTCCCATCGCCATTAACATCCACGAGACGAAAGGCAGATTCCGTGATAAGTTTCGGGAATCCAGCAATCCACACGTCCTCAACTTGTATATCAGAACAACCCAAAACTTCAGGAGTGTGAGCTGAGGTCGGTTCCTGTCCTGCACTCCCGTAATACAGACTGCCACCCAGTACGTTAATACCGCTCTTCTGCATTGCAAATAAAACAACAGCCAAAATTAAGAGGCAGCTAGAGACGGCAGTCAAAACGCAGCATAGGAGTTTCAGACAGCGTCTTAGTCTGTAGTATTTCCTTTTGATTTTAAAACTAGGCGACCGAGCCCTGTTTTTAGGTTGGAGTAAAGGCTTAGAGCTCGTTTTGTCCGAGTTTCTGGGCTCGTCCACAAAGACTTCGTCCTCACATGACTCAGAGACATCCGAGTAGTTGGCGTCAATATCAAAACTGATCTGACGATACCGCCGTCCCGGATGGACAAACTTTGGCCGTCGAAATTTGGAATCTTGAAATCTAATTTCATCATCCATTTTGTCTTTCCGTGGTGACTTGACAAATCGCTGCGGTTGTTGTGTGCATCAAAAAAACTTACTGTCACCTGCGAATACCATATCTTTATATCTATGGCAACCACAGCGTTAGTGTTGGTAACGTGGAAAAGTGTCAGTAACTGATGTCCTAGTTGCTTACCAATTTAAAGCTAACAACAGTCACTGGTATATGGTTTTATTAGCAAGTGGTCAATTGCACTGCACTAGATATTATCTTTTGAGACCAAAAATGTGCGGATATAAATCGGTAAATGGCAAGCTGGAGTAGCATATGTCCTTGTAGTAGCATTCCTAAACTGACGTTTGGCTATCACATCCACTGAAAGCTGTTTTATTGGGTCGTCTCCGTTAACCTTTGTTAGAAAATTAAGTGAAGTTTCCATCAGACTCACTGTTTCATCCATCACTCAGCTCCTGTAAGTAAATCAAAAAGTATTTATTACACGCACGATTGGCAACAGCCGGGTTCAGTCAAACTAATTACATTTTCAGAGTGAACATGACAGGTCTATTGTGCCTTTGCTTGGCAACTGTTCTTGTGTTGCTGCATCGATTAGCACGTTTGTGCCATATTGCTTCTCGGAATCGCTTATCTTATTTACTATACCTAAATAAATCACTGACAACTTAGGGAATGCAAAGAGGTTTATGGTGATATTTCTAGTTTTCCAAAATGATGTTTTTGACACTCAGAACATATTACCATCCATGGAACGTGTTTCAGATTTTTACCTTTCTGATTTTGTATTATACCACACCTGGCTACGTATTTTAACGTTCAAATACTCTGTGACAATCAATGAACCTGCCTGTCTGTGAAGCAGTATTTCAGATGACAGGTGGTCTTGAATGAAATGGGAAACAACGGGTTTTTTATATACGTGGTTATTAGCTAACTACTAGTAAACCCAAAAGACGAGGTATGGCCTTTTTGTGTTTGAAATGTGCCGTTGCTTTAGTCATTAGGATCTAGATAGGAACACGTTGACTGCTCAATTTCAGCGCACTTTGACACTTTTGGCTCGCTAGCGTCACAGATGTGGAGAATGCGGTTGTTCATATAAATGCTGAATGCAGAAGTCACTGTGAACTCTTGTCTTGTCTAGATATATAGTCCTTATCACGAAATTACCTTCATATCATTCATCGACACGAGAATAAATTTCTCGGAGACCTAGCACTATAATAATAATATTTATTTCTTATATAGCGCATTCCATTTTTTACATTTCAATGCACTTTACAAATAATTAAAAAGTCTAAAAATAACAATACTAAAATACTTTAACATTTACTGATAAAATTAATTAATTAAAGAAAGCAGAGAAAATTTATTGATATAACTTTAAAATACTACTAAAATTAACCCAAGCTCACTCTTAATAAATGATAAACAACTAAAAGGTTTAAAGGAACACTAACCATAAAATTCTTTAAAAAGATGAGTTTTAAGACAGGCTTTAAAAGTATTATAGTCACTTTCAGCTCTGATACTAAAAGGCAATTTGTTCCACAATTTTGGAGCATAAACAGTAAAAGCCCGGTCTCCATAGAATTTGTTGCATTTTCTGTCTATTTCACAGTGATTGAGTATAAAATTGTTTTCAAAAGAGTTTCTTGTTAACCTGCGTGGTTCAGATGACTGAATAAGATGTGCAATATAACCAGGTGTGTTTTCTTTAAAAGCTCTAAAAATTATGCACAACACTTTGAATAAAATTCTTTGTTTGATTGGCAGCCAATGCAATTCCTTTAACACTGGAGTGATATGATCCAAGCTCTGGTTCCTTATCTTTTTAACTAATCTGGCCGCTGAATTTTGAATCAATTGGATTTTTTTCAATTTGCTGTCACTCACCCCAAAAAGAATACTGTTGCAATAATCTAATTTTGATGTAATAAAAGCATGAACTAATTTTGTAGTTGTTTCTATATTTAGTAAATTCCGAATCTTCCCTATTCTCCACAGTGAAAAAGATGCCGACTTACAAACATTGTCTATATGCTTGTCAAAGATCCCAGCTGAATCAAAAAACCCACCTAAATTTCTAGCACTGACAGATGCTTTCACAGACACATTGCCAATGCGAACATTAGTGTTAGTAGCACAGTCCTTTCTATCTTTAAATTTAGATGAAAACCAGATTATTTCCGTTTTAGTGTCATTTAGAGCCAGCTTATTTGAAAGCATCCACACCCGGATCTCATCAATACATTTCTCTATGTCTGACACTACAGAATAATCACACCGACTATCACAAGTTACATAAATCTGAGTATCATCAGCAAAAATTGTGGTCTGAAGATTGTGCTTAGAAATGATCTCCTCAAGAGGCACCTATCCGTAACAATCTAGCCAGAAATTAAAACCAGCCTCTACATGTACATACTCTTAAGGGGATCTTCGTATGAGATCTATATTTCTCAATAAAAGAAATAACCGGACACGGAATCAGAGTGTTAATTTTTACTAAAAAAATTGAAACAACTGCATGAATGCCTGTCAGGACAATCACTTCTCTTCAATATATCATTAAGATCCTAATCATGTCCTGTGTGTATCAGGAAGTCGGTATAGCTGTGCTAGCCTTCACTGTTGTTAGCTGTTGCTAAAGTCACTCTGCACTGCATTGAACACGGCGATCGATAAGTTGGCAAACAATTTTTTTTTGTAATTCCGGTACGACGTAAATTGGCGAACGAGGTTCGGTCAATCAGTGACGGTGACTTCCTATTCAGGGTATCGTTATACACACAGTGAAAACAAAGGAGTCATGTAGTATTCTTTCACTTAAAATACTCTTTGAAGATTTTGTGTGTTGTTCATGTACTAGCGCACAAAATGAATAGTAGAAACTACCTGATCAACAGTATGAAACAAGAATAAGGATCAATAAGCAAACATTTTATAGATACTTGATATTAATAAATTCACGGCGACTAATTAATGTAAAATCCTGTAAAGGGAAGTAAACTGGGGACCTACAGGGTATTAAAAGACAAACACTTATGGTGAAAGTCTCATATTCTAAAATGAAAACTCGCCCAAAAAGTGTGGCGGTGATCATGACCCCGAAATCAAAAAGGATCTTTATACCTCACCTAAAATCCTCTGATAACTATAAATGCCCACAATGATGTGAAGTCAATCTTAAGACAGTTTTCCAAAATAAAAGCGCCTGACAATACAACAAACATCTGAACAAGTGTTTCTAGAACCGTACATAGAGATATATGGCCTGGATGTTAGCAATATGATCTGGCATTAAAAAATCGATGCTATACTTCGTGAAAGCCCTGTGGGTATAATTATGTGACGGGTACGTGTAACTGCCTGAATACACTATACTATCTGCTCACTGGTCTTGACACCGATAGACAACTAAAATGCTAAAATTAATTTCGCTACAGCTATCTTTAAGGCACTATGTTGTCAACTGCAGTGTAAAAGTAACAGCCCTATTCACTGAGGCTGTTAATGTTGTTATACTACCAGAGTTAAAGGAAATTTTGCAAGGTCATTGTCATTGTAAACTGCACACATATCAAAAATATAAATAAAAGTTAATAAATGAAATAGTTTGAAATATCACGGTGTGTACGTTGCTACACGTACGCACGTCAAATCACACCAAAGGTAATTTCAATTGTGAACCATAATGAACGGAACACAGTGTATTACTATCTTCATAATTAAACTCCGTATAAAAAAGAAATCGTGAAAATGAGAAAATGCCACATAATCTGATATCTTAGCGTAATTCAATTCATTTAAGTAGCTTAGAAAAAGTCGTTATACAAGGAATGCCCTGGTTGAAAACGTGAGGGATGGATAACGAGATCATAGAAATGGCAGTCAAGTGGCTGTACATGTATGGTTATAATACGACTCCTCTCGTGTTGCTGGGATCCACATGCAAGATATTCAGAGATCAATGGTCACCAGGGAACGCAAGTTGATAACACGCCATATGGTGAAATATTGTGACTAATGGAGGTAGCTAGGGAAATTATGTCGTCCTCCATGATATTCTACTCTTCAAAGCGTCATTTATATGAAATCGGCACGAATCATGCCCTCGTCGTTATGCTAGGTTGTAATGCGGCCAATGGTATCGTCTTGAACACCGTGAATAGACTAATTGACGTAAAATGACGGATCGCAAAGGGTGGGGGACAGGGTATATTCATTTTAGTCTTGACGTGTCGATAAATCTTATTTTGGTTCAAGCCATTCCCTTTATCCGGTCGTCAATCTGCTCATGTAGGTAATACTAAAGCAAGGCATGGTGCCGCAATTTAACTGCGCCGTGCAGCTACAGGGGGATTATATTTACAAGATCGGTGAACGCCTAACCGGTATTTATTGCATCTCACTAATAATAATAACCAGTTATCTTACAACTCACGACACAAATATGCCACAGCGGTCAAACCAACAGCGTCTTGGTCAAACACACGTGGTTGTTTTATACTAATTTGTCGGGATCACTTAATTGCTAGATACTGTTGAAGATAATTAAATGCCGTTAAGATAAATATAATTGCTTGCCAATGAATGTAAGCGAGAATCATGGGCCAATTCCCCTATCTTTATGTACATAGCGTCGCACATAGAGACTCTTAACAAATTCGAATTGGTTTGAATAACTTCATTGAAACTGTGCTATCCTTGTAAAATATGCATACCCGCCACGATTCTGCCATTTGTGTTGTGTTTACATAACATATTGTATGTTTTAAACTTTGTTTTGTGAAGCAGATTGAATATATTTGACTGCATGCACCTTCACGATAGAAGAGTCCAATTTTCCTGACAAACATCCCATTGCTTCTGAACGCGTTATTCACCAGTTGAAAGCAACGTTAACCAAATTGATAGGATGCCATATTGTATTGTAACGACTATAACGAAACTGCGTCGTTAGCATGACCAAGCATAACAGCATGTACCTACCTATATTTCAAAGTCACAACAAAGCACAGATTATTCCTGTATCATCCCACAGACCGACACGTTTCCAGCATGTCCCTAAAAAGCCACTTACCGTCCTTAGTCAAGATTCTGCAGTGCTCATGTCGAACT